GGGAGTGACACCGAAGAGAAATGTTTTTGTTCGCAAAAAATTATCTGGTCCAACCAGTAAAAAGTTTTCTTTTTAACCAACCCCAAATATCAATTAAAAGATAAATAACCACTCCTGGTCAAAAACTTCTGAAATGGATACCATTCAGTTGTCACACATGTCCTTTACCACTTCTTTGACATGAGTTTGATAACTGCTTGTGCACTTTTCTGCAGTCTAAAGTTTCATCTTGTCTGCACATGTACTTTCTTTGGAAACACCATTTGCCTCATGACAAGTCGGAAAATGATCAAGATAGTGACTCTGATTGATTTACATATTGTATTGACATACAGTATGACTGTTGACATTGCTTTTTGGTCTTCAATATTTGAGTGGGTCATGCTTTGGAAATGCCAATAATTTTTTATTAGCCAACCCTTGAGTTGTTTTTTTCCATTTACCCAACCTTATACTCGCTCAACATTTTGTTTACCCAACCTTTTTTTCTTCGGTGCCACCTCCCACCCCACCCCCCGCCATAAATAACGACCGCTACCTAATATGAGGCATTGTCGGTTAAATGTGAATGGAAGGACACAGGCCAAGTTACCAAAGAAATAGCTGATTGAATAAATTCGAAGCCTCGGAATGGAATATAGCTGAAAAGTTTAGAGCAAAAGATTCTGGTTTCGATAAAGTTTCCGGGTTGCGCTATTCCATTTAATATCCGTACACCACCTGTCGAGGATAGCTGGAATTCGTAAGAGGTATACTGTGTAATTCATGCTGGAATTCTTCCAGTGTGGATTATAACGTTCGGCCATTTGCCTGAGATGCTTGGTTTGCAGCGGTGCAAAAAAGTAACGGCGTATGTGTTGACACGAAGCCGCCATGCTCTCCGTTTTCATCTCGCTCCTTTTAGAAAACGTGCTCAAATTGTTACTCAAGTGAGGTTTTCAAACAATTTCACTCCGGTGTGAACGCGACGGCTAATTCCGACTTTTCTGCGCCGCTCAAACCGCTCAGGCGTAATGTGAAACATAGTCTTTCGAGACAAGGTCTGGAAACTCAGTAAACTTCAAAGCGGCTATAGTGAGCTGAGAGTTTATGTGCATGAGCAGTACCTTACACCTCGTGCACATCCTTTGTTTTAGGTTTATTAATATTTAAATATCATGGTTGAATGACTGAACTGAAACGTTGCTATTGGACGATTCGTTCATTATACTGAAATACAATGTGGTCATTGACCGTGCACCGTGCATAAAACTGCATAAAACGCGAACAAAAAGATAGAACAAAGACTTTAGCGGAGTTTCGAAACCATGTTTTGAAAGACTATGTGTGAAAGTTGTCTCAGTTGTCGGTTTACCGTAAGGTGAAGATGATGTGTTAATAAATTTAACAATAGTACTGTACTTTAATATAACCGTCTGAAAAGGTTGTGGATTCATTGAATATAAACGCGCAAAGTTTCTACTTTTACGGTTTCAAAATTTTCAGCCCCAAAACCAAATTCGTCGCTGCATGCGTGTGTAAGCGGCAACGTCATCTATATAATTCTCATCTATAGGCCTAATTCTTTTTTTTTTGGCACTGTATTTCGGTAAAATTGTGCACTGTGATCTGCCAATCAGAATCGAGTAATGAGTTATATATAGTATGGCTTCATATTCATGAGTGAGTCTTTCAAAAGATGATCAATATCCACCATTGTACGAGTTTGAAGGACGAGCGCAATTTGAAGTCTTTGAAAAACTCATGAGTGTTATTTGCTGTGTTGGTGTAATGTACTCAGGTGAATAAGATGCTTGTGTGATGTTACTCTGAGTGTATTTCCACACCGGGCAGGCTTGAAAAATATGCCTGGCCACGGTGGGATTCGAACCTACGACCTTTGGAATACTAGCCCAATGATTTGCCAACTGAGCTACGCGGTCAGGTCGGTTCGAGTATGCGATATTTCGGAACTGAGCCTAGTTCCTTCGATATCAGTAGCTCAGCCTAGTTCCTTCGATATCAGTAGCCGCGTAGCTCAGTTGGCAGAGCATTGGGCTAGTATTCCAAAGGTCGTAGGTTCGAATCCCACCTTGGCCAGGCATATTTTTCAAGCCTGCCCGGTGTGGAAATACACTCAGAGTAACATCACACAAGCAACTCAAGAGTGTTTGGTTTTACAAATTGCTGAAGAAACCGGCCATATTACTTAATACTAATATACACGAACAAATTACGCAGAAACAAATATATATGGTCATTAATTTAGGCATGAAACACAGCGAAAGCCTTTTTTTACTATATAGGCGAATTAATTTGTTCGTGCGAAGCGCCTTTTTCCTTTGTCGCGGCATCGATTTTGCTGACGGTTTAAATAATTTACTCACAAATAGGCTTAAATAATTTACTCCCTCATTTGAATGGCAAAACAATTAGCTTAATATACAAGTTTTTAACTGCCAGAAGTGAAAACTTAAATCAAAATGTCTTTTGTTTTGGCGCTTGCATGGCCACCTATATTTCTTCTTTTGCATGGCGATGCGTGTATTTCTTTTTTGGCACTGATTTCAGTAAGATTGCGCACCTCTTAAGCCAGTCAGAATCGAGTAGTTTTATCATGCATGTACACAAGAAACTTAAATTAAGAAAAGACTCATGCGCGGCCATTAAAACAACCTTTTATAACATTAGCCATGCACTTTTAAAATTCGAATAGATTTTTCGCAATCGGTGCCCCGTATCCTATAGAAAACAGAAATAAATGCGGGGAAATTGACGAAATCTTTTTTAAATGCTGCCTGTTATCGTGAGAGTAATATTAGTTCATGCATGTATATAGCTTTCATTTTTTTAAACTTCTGGGTTGCTTACAGAATGTCCTGGAGCCACAGTTCATGCTTTTGCACGCGAATCAATAACATCTGAGGCTCTCTTTTTGACCTCTTGTTTTCTTTCATATAAATGTCAAATTATAAAAATAAAACTTTCCTTCCCTAGTTGTCCCGAATTTTTCATGAATAAGCTATAAATATTGACTTTAAAATCTCATTCAAAAACTCAATAATTCATGAGGAAAACACAAAGTGAATCATAAGCACTCAGATGGAACTAAACAGAAATCTTTTGAATTTGAACAATAGAAATTTCGGTTCGATCGAAAAATTTCGCCTAGTGGAAAACCGCCTGTAGTCCTTATACGTTGTCATATTTTCCACACCAAAAAACTGGAGAAAAGCCGGTCGTTTTTCCAGTATACTCGTTTATTACTTTCTCTATGCATGCTATTAGGCCACATAAAATAAATTCCTTGATTCTCATCACCGCCCGACGATATTTTGGTTTCCGCGTTGATATATTTTTGTATTTTGTTATAAAATATAAATTTACCGCCCGACCGACCATCTTCAGAGATTTAGTTATTTTTATATTTTATATTGGAATTTTTGCGATATAAAATTGTTTTACCGTTAATATTGCAACATGTTAAGGGATGCTTGGAATACTGAAGGAAAAAATGGGCTTATAGCCTTACTACAACGATTTGTGTGGACCCTTATGTATGTTCATTAGCGCATGTGCAATTATATCCCCTTATATAGCGTTCTTCTATAATATATTTAAGGGCAAATATAAAAAGACCTCCCTCTCCAATTTTTTAAATTTTAAACTTTTTTTATATTTTGACATAAAATATAAAATATAAACCTCCCGCCTCCTGGGAGTTTTTAAAATTTAGCGATGAGAATCAAGGAATTTATTTTATATGGCCTTAGCACAACATTTTTAAATACACAAAAAATCGTTAAATTATGAATAAAATCTATATTAGACTAGTTTTTAAATGCTGAATTAAACTTAAAGGCGTTACAGCTGTCATGTCACTCCGATAATCAGTAGAAATGAATTATCTTGAATTTATAATGTCTAGAATTGCACTTCTGCTTTAATTGTCAATCTGAAACTCTATCAAGAAGCCCGCCACTTGCAGCTAGTGAGAGAATTAATTTGAAGCGCAGAGATACAGTGGCCTGGCATGCAATGCATGGTCTGCGGTGATAAAAGCAGGCGTAAAGATTGTTTCATTACATTAAAATACTCACTATTGTAGAGATATTTTAAAATACCAAGATCTTTTAATATTACTTCAGGTAAAACTTCACTCAAATTTGGTCAATGCATGCATGCAGTTCAATTAGCCTTTCTCACGATGACGAATATCCGCCATTTTTGGGTAGCATCTAACGCGCCTGCATGCATGTATTCTAAATTAAAGCTCACTCACACTCAAAGGTTCAATCTGAGCTTCCCTTGTGTCAATGCTGTTTTTGAATAGCTGGAGGGTGAGTAGTCACATAGTAAGGTACGGGACTAACCCTCCAGCTATTCAAAACTGCACTGACACTAAAGGAAAGCTCAGATTGAACCTATATATACACTCTTTGAGTGTGAGGCTTTTTGAATACAGGCGTAATTCTCGTTAACCAATGCAGACAATTAAAACAATGCGAAAAGCCATTTTTCAAAATAAACTAACCATTTCCATAGCAAATTTACCATCATTCGTCCAAAACATTATAAAAAGTCGTTATAGGACTCATAAAAGCCACCCAAAAATGGCGGCGCGAGAAAAGCATTTTCCTTAATCCTCAATATTTAATTAATGTAAACTTGCGCATTCATGGGAAATTATGCAGATGCTGCGAGTATTACCACTGATCAGGACCAATATCAGTTAATTGACAATGATGGCAGGTTTTGGGCGTCAGTTTCAAAGCTTTTTCATGCGTATGCGCATATGAGAACAAGACACATCATTAGCGAGGTAAGCAGATGGTAATTATGAAAAGAACATAATCAAGAACATTATCGAGAACATTTTTTCTGCGTTCAATTAGATGGCCAGTGAACTACGCAAATGACCTTATTCAATATAATCGCGCGCTCACATATCAAGAGCAAGAGCTAGTTTGGGATTTTGGTTCCTTTAAAATGGATAACCATTTTGCGAATTTATCGGGCGGAAATAACATCACTCACTCAAATGCTGGCACTGATCGCGGGCAGACCTTTGGCGATTTCGAATGTATAATAATGCGATTTCTCTTTGTTTTTACTGGGTCTGTTGGCCTGCTGGAGAACATTGTCGTTGTTACAATTATCCTACACAGCAGAATTATGCTCGATTTTCCATCCAATTGGTTCGTCCTCAGTTTGGCCATAGCCGATGCAATTTTTTGCTTTGCAGCGATTCCATTGATAAATGCCCTATGTTTAGGAGCGTCCTATATCATCCTAATTGGTGTGGTCGCTCAGTTTGTCACCATTGCCAGCGCTGGAAATTTATTCATCTTGACATTCAACAGATTTCTTTCCGTGTATAACTCGTTAAGATATCCTGGCTTAATGACCTACCGCAGAGCAAAGTGTTTGGTCGTAATTCCTTGGGGAATCGCTTTTCTCATGTCGGTTCTTGTCGGAATTTCAGTTCAAGCAGGAAGTCAGGATATAGCCTATCTCCACTCATCGTATTATACAACACTGATCATACTAACCATTGGACTCAACGTATATATGTTCAAGCTTGCAAGAAGCAAACGTAGAGTGACTGTACAGCAGCAAAGTGCAGTTCTGGCGCCCGGAGATAAATTACTTAGAAAAGAATTCCGCTTGTTGATTCGTCTGCTCGTCGTAACGCTGACATATGTGATAGCCTACTAGTAGGTTTATACTAATAAAAGTTATTCAGTAAAATTGTATCTAATCTAAGACATCCCCTGTATGTATTGCTTCCTGAGCGTAAATTAACAACAAAGGACATTAATTAAGAGAACGGGAACATGCATGACTTTATTTTACCACAAATTAGAACAGAGAGATTCAAACGATCGTTTCTTAACAGATGCCGTCTATTTAACTATTTTTAACTAATATAGATTTATTTTTCTTTGTTGGTGTTATATGTACTCAGGTGACTACTGATGGAAAATTTAGGGGTAGAGAAATACAAATGATTTTCGGGGGGGGGGGGAATACCCCAGATCCCCCTACTATTAAATGCGACACCACACCAAACGTTTTGTTGCCAACAACCATCTTTTATGTCTCCACAGTCAGTATAATATGGTACATGGTTCCTTTTTGTAGATGCCCCCACTGACGAATTCTTAAAAAATGCCCTGGAATGCGGGCATGTTTTGCCCGTGCTACTTAATTAAAGCGACAAATATTCAAATGCAAAGAGATGTCCTTTAGCACATCACCAAACGAGGTTGAAGTCAAAGGACAAAGCTAGAGGATAACAGAACATCGGTATCGATTTGTCATATCACTTATCGCGCGCAGTAAAGGTGGATTATGGCGCATTTGGGTTGCCTGATGAATTCGCGCGATCATGTGGGATAAAGTCTTCGTACATGGAAAGTTTTATCTCATTTGACCATATAGATATCTTAAATACACTAGATAGCGCATCTAATTATTCTGCAATTAAAAAATTGAAGCCGTGATTCCAGACTCAGGATATTCCCATGAAATGAGAAGACTCGTATGTTTTCTTTTTCTTAAACAGGGAATTTAAACATTAAGTTAAACCTATTCCAAATACATTTTCAAACTATTCAAATGATGAAAGTTAGTGTTGTTTTTTAAGCCGTTTATTAGCGAGTGGGAAACTCCAACATGACCGCCATCTATTCAAATGGGGGTAACCGCTGGAATATTCTTGACTTCCGAATTTTACTAAAAGAGATGCGCTATCTAGTGTACATATCTATGTATAGTTGACTGACTGAGAAGCTAATATTTTAAATCCGAATATGAGGACTGGATTCGATATCAACTGTCCGCGCAATTTGATCAAGTCAGAGGCGAAGCCGAGGACCGGATCAAAATGCGAGGACTTGAAATCTAGTCCAGTCCGAATTGGAGGATTTGAAATGACATCTCGTGCGAATCCTAGAACTGAATTAATTTTGACCCAGTCCTAGGATTGGATCAATGTAATTCATCAGGTATATGGCTGACTAATTAACTCATGAATTATTAATGAGTTTGAGATGGTGAGATCTCAATGTTGAGCTAGGCGGGAGCCGGGCTGGCTCCTTTCTCACATGAACACAAATTGAATTTTTGATATGCGTAAGTGACGAAGATTGACGCAAGTGTGTTGCGTCAATATTATGTCACGTGCCTGTCCTGTGTAAAGGTCATGGTGAATTATCAAAGCACGGAAGGTCAAATACATAAGCTCATTTAATAGGCCCCAATAAAATTATTGAGCCGTACTAAAACATGAATTTAGAAACTGGAGTAGCCGGGTCTGGATGCCCGCCGATCAGTGGGCCCTTTGTTCAGCACAATAATTTTCGCCAATTTTTTGTCTACATCAGTTTTTTGTCAAGAGCAAAAGATGTGAAAGATGTTTTTTTACATTTAGTGCAATGGTAAATGATGCTGAAACACTGAAGACAACCCCTAAATATTTAACATTGAAGTTCCAATTCAGATAAAATCCTTCCCCCCAAAACACTTTGGTTCCAAGGGCACTGCGTACATACGTAAAAGGCCAATTGGACGATTGCCAAGCAACGAAGTTAAACAGATGAAATATCCTTGTGAGAAATTGCGTCACAAGTTGTCAACAGATAATCAGGCCTTTATGCGGACAGAATCTCAAATATTGAGGCTTAAATTGGAACACTGCTTAGTTTATACTAAGAAAATAGACTGAAGACTGCGAATTTTTTAAATGAGCCTCAGTTCTTGTGGGGACTTAATACTGTCCAGCTTTAAAATCTAATTATGCTATGTCTACACCAACGGATAGCTTTCAGTAGCGGCGCGAAAAAGTACCTGTCCGATATGGAATTGTACAACTCAGCGAAACAACATCTCTCCGTTTAATCCTCTGAAAACAGCGTTCCAAAAAGGTACAGATAGGAGTTTCTTTACGTCGCTATGGAAAGCTATCCTAAGTATCAGTTGTAAAAGTAGCCTAAGAATGCTCAATACGCATTCAGCAGAATAGCTTAAGCCTAAATTTTTGTCGGGGAAATAAACAATGGATTGGTTTCTTTCGCCCAAAATCGTGATGGAAATAAAGTCCATCCAGTGAAGACGTCAGGTTCCAGGATTGCATAACCACTCCGGAACATAATCCGTGTTTTGTACGTAGAATATCGTTCTTATATTGTTTTGATTGGTCACACGTGCACTTCCTGTTTTGAAGACAGTCACTTCCGGTGCAAATCACAAGACGAATTAGCTAGACTCATGAATGGCGACTGTCAGATGTTTTTTATCCTTATTTGTGATCGTTTTTACAACGATCCTATCATGGACTGTTGTTATTATGATCGACTTTTATTCTGGCCATGGCAAGAGCTTGACCCCTCATAAATTATCAGATAATCCGCCGTTCCCCGGCGGGAAAATGAACAATTTATTTTGGATTGTACAGGTACTGTTCAATATACTTGTGTGTGAATATTAAAATCTTGTATATTATTATATTTTTGTTGCAGAATATATTTTAATTAAGTGTCATATTCATGCGAGTAATTTTATTATAGATAAAAGCGAGGTCACTTTCAAGTGGTCAAACCTTTCGTTGTTATGTCTTCGAAATAAAAATATCTAAACAAAGTTAACAAACCGTACATTGTAAACAAAAATAAGTATATATCGTAATTAAGTATTTCATTCTATTCAAATTTGTTCTAAAAATTTGACAATTGGAACAGCCTACAAAATAATTTGCTACATATAAAGGGATTTTTTCTTGAAGTAAAAAAATCGCAAATTATATGATGTAAGAGTGCCGAAAATATCTGTTGATTTCTATATATAAAATACACAAGCAGTCAACTCATAAAGGTCTTTGTTTAATATGTAGTTAGTGTCAAATTTCAATTTTTCTGTTTTCCGGTTGGACAAAAGCGTACCACGTGCCAGTCTGCAAAACATTGTGTTTAATGCATTGCCCTCACTCCTTGTACCCAGGCGCAAATAACATACTAAAAATGGCAACACTACAGTGTTTTTATATAGATCAAATAAAAACACTGTAGTGTTGCCATTTTTAGTACATTATTTGCGCCTGGGTACAAGGCTGCATTGCCCTGGCAACGAGCCAGACTGCAGAGTTGGTCAACATCGCACTCAATATTTTTTTAGGCACAAATTTCAGCGCACCTGGGATGTACTTTATAACAACTTTTGCAATTTAATCTGCCCTCAAATCTCTCATTTTCATTGTTTTTAACATGTTTCTCGCTACTTTTGTGCCATTGATTGCATCTTGATGTGTACTTGGGAAATGTTTTGCGCAGCCGCACTTTGTCATTTTTGAACTTTTGCGCACCCAAGGTCTCGTCGAAAAAGTGACCAACTCTGCAGTCTGGGCAACAAGGCAACCAGTCCATAATAGAACATTTATTGACCGGTCAACAACAGAATAGGTGCAACTGCATGCGGATTCATGCCAACTGTGAAGTTCCAATTAAAGTTGATTTTATTAAACTTGTTTAAACATTTACGGCATATCATTTATCTATAGTTTTGGTTTCAACGTTCATTCCAATCACCAATTATTTATACTTTGACACTTACATACTATACAACAAAACACTTATTTCCTGAGAAAGCAGTGTGTTTTTTGGCCCCTTGGCTGCCATTGTTGCAATGTTGCCCACGGCTTTGCCTCAGGCAACAATGAAAGTCTCGGGTCCACAAATTAACACACTGTTTCCCTCGATCTCAGTAAATAGTGATAATTATAAGCTTGTATTTTAGAATGATTTTTCGATGCTCACTTATTGTATTGGAAAAAAGGAAGCATTTATTCATTTGAAACTGGATACCGAATGTGTAATATGATTCGGCTTGACACAAATATAGTTTCCTAATTGTTTTTCAATAATTTGTAAGTAAACATGCATACAAATCAAATCAAATCCCAGATCAAACAGTAACAGTTGACTAGTAAACAGACCCAAGGGAATAGCAAGTGTATTATAATTTTAGGGATACAGGCCTTTGCTAATAACATGGCCGGGTTTTGTTTTGACATGATTGGGATGTGGTCATACCATGTTATTTTAGGAAATAGGTGCAAAAGTAGCATGCATATTTTCCCAACAGGTCAATTTTTTGAGAGGTCCCCCCTCGCCCCTCTTTTGCTATGTTCAGACCAGACCATTTTTGATCATTGTCCAGACCTATGGTCTGTCTTTTCTCGTTACTATGGTAACTATCACAACTGTATGATGCAATAGTTCCTATTTAACTAATGTTACATGAGGTATTCCTAATGGGCATCCTAAGGCCAAAAAAAATATGTGGGTTTCCGGTTTCCCGACCCTGCCTAGCTTTTGGACGTCGAAATCCCGACCCTAAACTTTTTTATTGGATTTGGATCACGCTTGTGAGTGTTTCCACTTAGAGGAAAAAATTTGTGGAAAATTGAAATTTGAGGCAATATTAGGGAAATTTATCTTTGGATGTGGAAGCACTGACTAAACAAAATGGCGTCCGCTTGTTCGGAAAAATAAAAAAAAGTTTAAAAAAAAAAAGTTAAAACCGACCTACC